GGCACAGTCTCTCCTGCAGATGCACGATGTTCTACACTATGGCAGGTTCAGGACTTGAAACACTGCCTACAAAAGACTGTCTCAGCCTGCAAAAGGCCAAAACAGGGGCTGTCCCTCACACATCCTGCAAGTCTCCTGGGGCTTAAAGGCCACACTTATCTTTAAATAGAAAGATTTTTATGAAAAAGGGAAACAGAAAGAAGAATGGTTTGCCAAGGTCATAGGTTCCTTTAAGGAAGCCATTGCTTCTCCCTTTTTTAATCATATGCCACACTCCTAACCATTGGGTAAGCTAAGTATTTGTCCAAAACGTATAAGGATTACATTTTGATGTGGAGTTATCCATTGGAATGCCAGCTTTCAACACATAGAAAAATTCTCTTCCTCCGAGACCAAAATTTTAGAAATAATATGTCCACTAAAAACCTTCCCAAAAGTCTAAGCTTTTTTTAGTGTTAATGGACCCACATAAGTCTACTTAAACTCCCTAAATCTGGTGGCCTGTCCGTCTTCCTTTGTGCCTCTATTCACAGTCAGGAGCAACCCTTTTTCTTATTCTTCACCATCTGTCACTCGAACTGTTAGATTAGAATCATCCTCCAAAAAGTCTTCTCTTCAATCATACTTTCCTCTTGTGTCCTCTGGGTAGTCTTAAGGACTTTGTCTCCTACCTATAGGTACTCTATATTTTGCTCTGTCAGACTGAATTTCCAGTTTCCTACCATTGCTGTCACTGACTCAGTTGTGCTGCTGTTTCTAATGCTGGGAGTGGAGCACTCTGGGCTTTCCTAGTGTTTTATATTCCAATCCTTTCCAAGGACGTCTTAGCAAATACCTCTTCTACCCTGGTTATCCTCGCTCACAGCAGAACTGAATCAGAAATAGCAGTAGGATGAAATTTTTGTGGGGAAATCATTGATACAATCCCAGGCTGCATTGGGGATAGCCTTAGAGGAATGGTACTACACAAAAACATATGTGGTGTGGGTCTGTAAAAAACCACCCTTTTTGCTTCTCTCTAAAGAGAGAATAGAACAGCTCTGTCCCCACACGGAGAAGGTAAGTACTGCATCTTTAAGGTCTCAGCAGTGAGGTAGAGGAGAGGAACATATTGTCAGTGTTTATACCTTTCTTCTTTGTTGAATTTGGGATTGGCTTCAGAGATATCCAGGCTTTTACTGAACATTGTTTTACTATGGCAGGAACAAAGCGAGAAAACAGAGTTACTACTGTGGACATTTTTATAAAAGAGAGTCACCTGAAGCAATGCTGGACACCCAGCCCCCCAACCCATCCTCCCCCTTTTAAGCAATGCTCTGAAAAATTTTTCCTTTTACTTTACAGCTACGGCTCACACCTACACAGTGCTGAAGTTCATTATCTTCCCCTGACTTCTGAGGTCTGAGATGACTTCCCCAATGCATACTTGTAAACCTTGCTCTCCTTTATCCAATTTAAAACCTAGGTACCATCTACTTTGTCACACTGTCCAGGGAAAACAGAACATGCCTGAAGGCATAAATTGTAAAGGATTCATTACTCAAAACTTTTCTAGGAGACCTCAAAACTAAGCACAATCTGGGAAAAGGTTAAAATCAGGCCATAGAGCCTCTTAGAGGAATGGTAATCCATTTTGTATTCTAATTTGTAGGGTCCATTACCACTTAACTCCCAACTCTCTTCCCTATGCTCAGTGTATAGAGAAATGCCCTTCTTTTTCATACTGGGTCTGAATCCCTGCAGTTTAGAAGCAAAATTCCCTATGCTTTAATAAAAGGGCAGCTCTCTGTGATATGTTTCACTGGTAATATGCTTCACTGTTTCACAGGACACTGCTTCCTAATGTTAGCTGATCTTTCATGCAAGCTCTCCACTTAAATAACTAGAAGAAAAGGAATAGTTAACGAAGCCCATTTTAGAATGGTTTTTGGACTCTCACAGCAAAGCTGCTGAAAATTTCTGGCATATCCCCAACAGATTCTAGCTCCTATGGAATTCTTCTTAGTCTGTGTGATTTTATCACAAGGGACAAAGTAGCTGGTGCTAAACTAAGCTCAGAAACCACCTCTTTTCTTTTGACATTTCAATGAAATACCAGATAGTCTGAGAGGTGGGGACGCCAGAACAGCAGAAGCAATTAAGATATAATTATGAAGCCATTTAGTTGACAACTAGCAGGGAAATTCAAGAACTAACAAAACTTAGTCACCAGTTTTAGGGTGGCTAGAGTTTGTGCATACTAACTTTGTCATATAGATAGATCCAATGGAAAACACTTGGAGAGGTCAGCACAAGCATTTCAGGGAGCCCATAAGCTCAACAAGTATCCTTTGTGCTGAGTTCCCCTCATTTGTTATTCAAAACTAAGTCACTGAAGGACTATGTTTTTCACTTAATACTTTCTCAGCCTGTAGAGTTGAAGGCTGCCAAGTTTCAAATTTCAGTGGAAAGATATGCCCTAAACAAGCCAAGACCAGACCCTTGTAGGGCCCCCACATGGTTACCAAAAGCACAGTTCATCACACAGGCACGTAAACCAGAGGTTATAACAGAAATCCTCTCTATGTAAGCAAATATCTGTTTACTACTGTGAAAGAGGACAGTAGGAATAAATCACAAGACACTTGGGTGTGTTTTGCCCCCTGGTTAGAGGTGTATCTTTGCCAGCTCAAGAAAGAAGCGATGGTTCTTTGTCTCTGGATGTTTACACAAATCATCTGTGTCTTAACAGGAAACGTGTTTCCATGGTCCACCTTCCTAGTACTGTAAGATAAAAGCACTGAATAGTCATCTCTTGAGACCAAATCATCTTAAAAAAGCATCCACCTCTGGGATCTAAACCCTACTGCTGTAAAATCCACTGTCAGTGGGTCACTTCATGGAATATAATATGAGACTAGTCATTAAAAATCCCCTTTCTTGGTGGAAGGCACTTGTCATTTTATTACTGACTGTTCTGACAGATGGTGCCCCATCAGCAATGCATCGTCCTGAGACAATCCCCATGCAGTGGTGTTCGTTAATGAAGCCAGTTCATGTTATAAAAGACTGTGCTGCCAGCAACACAAAATGTGCTGTTGTCATCTGTGCATGTGGATGGTATGAATTATGGAAGCTCACACGTGGAGTAAAATAACATCTTCCCTTTAACCCCTTCAAAAACAAGCACTACCATGGCCATCATCATCCGTCATGGTGTTATTACATCCCTTTTTCCACCCTTAATCACACCTTTATGTCCATTCCTGAGTTGTGGCATGCACTGTCCCGTATCTCTTTTGTGCCTGGCAGGTTTTGCTTCCTCCTTAAGCCACAGCCCTTTTTTATTGATATGTAGCCTGGATATGTCTCTGCTCTGAACTCAACCCAGACCTTTTGACTTCAATTGTTTCCTCATGTGAAGAATTGAGAGAGACATATAAAAGCAAAAGAAATACTTTGGACAGCAAAACACAGCTTTGCCTCTTCAGGCTTTTGAATCCGAAGTCAAAGCTGAGAGCTGAAAGAAAAGGTTTCAGCTCTCAGAAAACTTTGTGATAAATCTAACACCTCCTGTTTGTTCCATCCTGTTGGACACCTCCTGTAAACAGATGCAGAATACTGCAACTCACAGGCAGCCTTGGGGTGGGGAAAAGTAATTTGCCTCTGTCTGGCTCTGGGAGCTTCCCGACCCATGCATCTACCAGGTACCAGATTAAACATGGCAGGCTGAATAAGGAGTCAGTTCATGCTTACTACTTTGAGGCCTATGAGGAACACAGAGCACACCCTGTCCTGAACACTTCCTTACCTCAGACCTCATTCCAAAGAAAATCACATATTCAAGACAGCTTTCCAACCTACACTACAACAAAAAATCTTTAGGGCAGTGTATCTCAAGGCCACATATTCAGTCTGAAATAAGTCACCACTTTTTTGTCACTGTAGATAGAACTGTAACATTTGCCAGCAAAACTTTTCAGCGATTCTAGGGGCCTCTGCAGTATCTATGAAATTACTTCATGTTCTTCACCCAGTTCTCAGTCAGCAAAGGGAGCTTCTGGGCACAACAGGCTCTTTTTGAGCAGATCTTGAGATGAATGAAAAAAAATGGCATATCAAAGCTGAAACAGAAGTTACAGCATCATCATCATCATACATATATGTAAAGTGTTCTTTTATATTGATTGATTCATGCAAGTGTGAAAACAAATGCATGTACTTCCCTTAGGCTAGTCATAGGGAGTGGGGAAGCAAGGTCCATAGTTCATGTAAGTGAATTTCTACAGTTCACTTACTCTCTCAGAACTTGCTTTAAGGAGACACCATTTCCATCTGCTGTTTCCCCATAAGACTGACACTTTCTTTGATAGAAAAGAGGTAAAATTATATATATTCCATCACTTTACAGGCATGTGGTAATTTATGTGGGTCAGATACACACTGGCTCTGACAGCACATTTCAGAGGCATTTGCAGATGTCTGGACAAGGTTTTTTAGATTCAAGCTGTTCTGATGACATTGAGGGTGGGGTTCATCTCATTTAACTTCAGGTGTCCAAAAGCTAGGAACCTAATCCAAGATAGTTACCTAGATTCCTGTTGTAGGCTATGGGGACAGAGAAGAACAAGCAGAGAATAATTTATCCTGTTTGACAAGACATATGTATCTGAGACCTTCCAAAGCCCTCATCTGCCCCCACTGCCTAGTCAGCCTGCATCGCAAGCTTAGACTGAATGCCTATGTTCTCCACAACTAAAAAGAGGTGAGATGAATCCTGCCCAGAGGACATGGTTTCCCGAGGAAGAGCAGCAAGCAAACAGAACCCTCGGGCCCCTGGCAGGACTCCTGGCCCTGTGTGCACAAGCGCAGCTGGCTGCCAGACCATGTTGCAAATGTGCTTGGAAGTTGTAACGAGTGCTGGTGCGAACAGGAAAGCTCCACAGCTTCTTTGTATGTATAACATAAAGGGGGGTAGCAAACCCAGACAGGCAGGACTCCTGGGTAAAGCAGAGACCCACCTCTGTCCATGTTGTGCCATTTCAATAGCTCTGCGAGCAGGGACTGGGGAGCCGCCATCTGTCACGCTGAGAACCTCCATCGACTTCCTTTCCGGCCGCCGCTTCCCATGCCTGTTCAGCATTGGGGAGTCCACACGCTTCCTGGGGGGATCTTTATGAAAAGAAAACGCTGTCAGCTGAATTTAGCTGTGATTTACCTCACACAGGTTGGTTAAATCTTCTCTCAACAATTTCACTCTTGCACCTCCTCTACAGTGACAGATATCTTCATGAGGGAGATGAACAATAGCAGTCTCTCCCTTCTTCCAAACTTGCAAGCATTAAGACATAAGTTGCACTCTATCTACACAGAGAAGGAGCACTGCCCCTGCCCTGAACCTATGAGCACTGTAACATAAAGGTACAACTATACTGTAGCTTGCAGAAATTAGCTTACAAAGCTGATAACAGTAATGACAAGATGATACAACAGCATGGACTACAGCACAGGCTGTTAGCCACAGCATAAGCCATCTAGGGATCTTGTGTATGCACTCAGGTTGCTAGACCTTGCCTTCAATGTTTCTGCTAGCTAGATTAAATGTGACACAAGGACATGGGTACATTCTGAACCTCAGAATTGCATTCTGCTCTGGAAACATATCCTTTTTTTGCATCTTTAAGATTAGATTTCAGGTTTTTCCCAGTGATTTATATTTTTCCTTCTTCAGCATTGCAAATTAAACATGCTTTTCTACCTGAGATGCATCTTCAATGAGAACCACTAAAATTTCTCTCAGAGCTCATCATACAGCTTTTACTACTATAGTAACCAAAATGCTTTACACCTTTTATTGTGTAACAATTCTATGAGATATCAAAGTGCTAGTTTAACTTTGTGCAGTGAAAACTGAAGTAGAAGAATGAAAGATTCATTCCTAAAGATTTTGACAAACATTTACTGAGGTTCTGAGGAGCACTGAAATTGTTCTGAAAAGAGCCTTTAGATATCAAAATGCATTGCAGAAGTTGACTTGCCAAACAATACACACCTCCATGGTGAAGCAGGGAACCAAATGCAGACCTGCTGAGATGTTTTATTACTAACACCTCTCATGGCATCAAAAGAGTAAAAAGGAGCAAGGCAGAAAAAATACAGAAGGATTTTCTTTCTTTTGGTTGGGCTATTTCAGTTCCCTGCCTCTGCTTATAGACACATTTTTAATTTTAGTGGAGAGTGACCACTTGTAAAAGAAGGCATCCTTCACTCCTGCTGTTAGAAAGAAGCTCACAGTGCCCAGCCCTTAAGGCTGCTTCTTCTGTCAAGATTCCTTTGCAAAACCAGAAATATCATATTTGACACTTCTACCTCTACTGCCTAGTCCTTATTATCCTGCTCTCCTCACACCTCCCCCATCTGCTTGTTTCTTCTTTCTTTTTCTCATGTCATGTTTTTTAGAACAAGATCTCTTTAAGGTAGAGCTTTTTCTTGAAACAGTGAGCATAAGCAAAGATGGCTCAAATGCAAATGGGTCAGTGATAACAACTGACCCCATTAGTTAGTGATAACAACTGTATCAACCAAGTATTCTTTGTATTAGCAGTAATAATGTTCCTGTTAAAAAATAATAAGGAAAAAAGTACAGTTGTATATCACTCAATTTCAAACTAGGCCCAGTAATAAAGAGATAGTAGAAAACAGTAGGGGCAATGAATTATAGATAGGAAAAATAAAGAGGGCATAAAGTTGACAGAAAAGCAAAGAGAAATAAATCAAATAAAGCATGTGTGACTTCAGCTGCATATGTGTAAGTGGTCAAAAGAAAGCTGGGGCAAGGTTCATCTTTCAAACTCTTCCTTCTTCAAGTAAGTTGAAAGCATAAGAAAGTATAAGAAAGAATTCATGCCACAGAACACTGCTGGTATTGTAAGTGTGATTAGAGCTGAGTAACACACATGTGGAGAGTATATATAACACAAAATTGATATAAGTTTTGCAGCAGGATATCAGATAGTAGAAAGGAAGGTAAAAGAGTGCAGTTTACAAGAAAGGAGGAAGAAGCAAGATGAAAAAAGCATCTAGTGTCGAAAGAATGGAGATGGATAAGTTCAAACTGCATCGATGTTAGCTAACAATAGAGGCTAAACAAGAAAGATGGAAAAAAGCATGAAAAACATATTATGAACATGTATTTTAAAAGGCAATTTGATCCAAGCATGTTCAAAACAGAACTTTAGCAAAACAGAAATTCAGCCAAATGACACTTACAAAAGTGACAGGCCAAACAGAAGGTGGACTTTAAAAGACAGTGAAGAAGAAATTTGAAGAGGAATTAGCTAAAGACTTTAATGATAGTGTTTTGTATAGCCATCAGAGAGAGAAAGCTCAAGAGAAGGACATTAGCCAGAGGGATCATGAGGGAATCAACAGAACAATTAAGGAGGAGAAGGATATCACTAACAAGCTAAACGTTTCTTTTATATCAGTCATTGCTGCTTAAGATGCTGGAAGATATCGATTTCCAATCTATACTTTGAACTATCAAAGAGAGAGAGTAAGCAAAAAGACCAGATGGTGAAATGCATCTATAAATTCAGGAACAGCAATTCACAAAAGTTGGATGAAAAATATATCCAGAAACTTGCATGAATTGAGCTTCTAATAAAGGTATTTGATGCCTCCTTAAAATTGGCTACAATCCTACATTTATACATAGCTGAGAGTAGCAAGTATTGTATATACTTTTTAGAAGGGTCTGATTAAGAAATGACAGGGCATCATCACTGTCAAGTCTAAAGATACTAAAGAAATAGTTAAATGCACAGCCATCCTGCCATAATGACTAAAGTGGTGCCACACAAAAGCAGTAGATTTTTCAGAAGCACAGGAACTAGAAACAGGAAAACCTCCATTATTTTCCCTTCCCTTCTTGACTCTCTGGAAATATTCCATGTGGCGAAAAAACATCACGCCATAGTCAAGATCTGTGATAGTACTGAGGATATAGTTTCCTTTTATTTCACATCAAAAAAGTGAAGCCATTCCTAAGGATTTTTACAGAAGAATACAGAATCATATAGGTAATGATCCAATTATAAATCCACCGTCTCATGGAAGGTGGGAAATAAAGGTTCAACTTCTAAGTTTGGACAAGGCACCTATATCCTATATATCTGTTCTGCCCCAATCTCTTGTTCTCTGGTTTATTAAGAAACTTCACCCCACAAAAGCCTTTTCCTCAAGGAGACATTAGTTGACATTCATTCGTTTTACTGAGAACTTTCTCATTCCTATGTTTTCAAGTAAAGAAAATGGAGCTGCACTTGAAAAACATTGGAAGTGACCCTTCCCTGGCTCTTTGAAAAAACTTTATACAGCTCAAACAGACAAAAGGGACACCAGAAGAGAGGGCAAGCCTGAGCTGGCCATATTTTCACCTGGATCTGTCCTTTCTGACACCTAATATGCCAAGAAATAGGAAAAAAGCAAAATACTCTCAAATGCTTTGTTGTTTTTTGGCAAGACCTCAGACAATGCACAACTCTCATGAACATGATTTCTTCAAGCTGCTATTATTAAATCTGCTACTTTTTCTCTGCTTCTCTTTGTTTGTGCAAGGCCACTGCTAATGGCTAATGATGAGATATTAATCAGACACATGACTGTTCCTAATTAAACTTTGCCCCATGTTCTCAGAGATACTGCTGGGAACAGAGGATGTGGAAATCCCCTGTGGAAGAAGAAATACAATCTACAAACACTCAAAGAATAAAGCTCAAATGTGCTGGTGAGGCACAATGATATATACAGAGCAGTGTTTCCCTCTTAGGAAACATTTTCACTACTTTTACAAAAATACCATAAGAGCGGAGCATAGTAGTTCAAATCATGGAAACGCTTTGGCATGTGGAAGAGAGATATATGATGTATTTAGGGCATAGCTACGTATTCCCTTACATGCTGGATATGAAGATTCTAGAGTCACCTTGCTTCTTTTTTAGGACAAAAGCATTTCTAAAACAAGATGATGCTGTCCTTACATGGCAGGATAATCTGTTTGAGTCAAAAGCTGATTAGTAAAGTGCTAGATGACAAACTGCACTGAGCAAGGGGCTTTTGACCACAGGACCTGCAGCCGGCACATCTACTCATCTTCATCAGGATCCCCACTAACATGTTCTCTGTAGCTCCATCGAGGTAGGAGTTTAAAAATTGCTGTGTTAACTAAGAACTTTTATCTCTTCTCCTACAGAAGAGATTCTCCTGCAAAATTATAGGTCCTGGAGCCTGGAACTTGGATAAGGTAATAATTCAATGGAGCCTTAACAAATTTACAGTGCAATATAGCACTGCCCTGTAGGCCTGTAAGATTCCAGGCTTTCCAGGGAAAAAACCCAGCACTTTACTTCTAGTCTTAAAGTGCTGAAATACAATACCTGAAAATCACAACACTGCTATGTAAAAATGCTATTTCAGATCACTCCTAGAAGTGACTAATCCTTTATTAAACTTCTGTCACTCTGCACAGTAAGAATCACTTATATAGTTAGCTCCTTGGGAAGCATTTTTCCTGTTGATTAGTGAAGTCCTTGGTGATCAGCAGCACCCTAAAATATCAATGAATAAATAGAAATAAAGTGGTATCACAAGAGCTTTACGAGATGTATAATCTTACTGCACGTTAAGCTTTTAAAATCTAAGTCTAAAAACATGGGAGTTTGATTTCTGTACTATAAATAGCTAAGTGATATTATTCATATTTTCAAGAGTGTATGTATTCATTTACAGAAGAGAGCATGTATACAAGTGTAACTGCGTAGAGATGCACTGCTACACAGTCTCATTGGCTGAAGTCCATGAGCAGCATTTCTGCAATACTGCACGTAGATTAGTAACTAGAAAATTCTGCCACTAGATTATACTGCTCCTAAACCGAATCTGTTTGCATACAGACAGCTTGTGGGTCCACAGCACACTTTTTAGGGTCTCATTCAAGACCTGCTTGGATGTTTCTGCACTGTAAGACAGACATGTCCTGAGAAAAAAAGCCCTTGATTTCAACCATGAAACAGACATGCCTTCCCTAGGTTGAGGATTCTCACACCATTTCAGTGGAGATGTAACAGTGATGCTAGACTTTGGGTTTATACTAAAATAAAATTAAAAAAAAAAGGTGAAGAGGAACTAGTTGATATGGGTTCTTGGTGACTGAGGTCATATCTGTAGTACCTATTTCATTTCTAGGGGGAAGATCCTCATCTTCATGACTAGGATACCTCTCCTTCCGGTCAAGTAGAAGAAAATAAATCATTTTTTCTTGGTTTTCCCTGAAAAAAAAAAAAGAAAACGAATCTTTACATTTGGAAAGAAAAAAACATCAACACATAGATAAACCCTTTTCATCAAATGAATAGTTGCAGTTATTCTAAATAAGTTGGAAATAGTCATGTACCTGCCAGCAAGATACACAACCCACAAAGCTTTTGAGACCCTTGCTGTCTCCAACAAGCAGCTAGTGAGGAAAGGAAATACGATTCCTATGTTATGCACACAGAACAGAGGCACAGGACAGACAAGGTAATGTGTCCACGGGAAGTCCAAACCAATAGTGGCAGCAAGACAGGTCTGAGCCTCTAAATGCTCTTTCTACTATGTGTCCCTCTTAACACCTCAGGAAATATACCAGCTCTTAGGCATAGGCTCCAAATAAATAAAAATCTGCCAACAAAGGCATATCCAACACACATAACAGCAACGATACCTCCCCGTCTGGACTGTACAGCCCATCTTTTAATGAATTGACCTGGCCTGGTAGCAAGGGAAAGGCTAGCACCATGCCTTCATTGCTGGTCAGGCTGTGAGCTTCTGACTCATGGAGCAAGAAAGGCTCAGTGCTTGCTCCTAACCCCTCACTAGCAAATGAGCAGCCAGAGGGTGAGAAGTTGCTACCAGTCACTCACAGAGAGAGACACCAGTTACAGTGCTCTCTACCTCTCCCCCACTTTATTAGCATCCCAGTCCCTGGACACCCAACTGATATGAAGACTGAGCAAGTGCTTACTCTTCCGACAACAAGTCCTGTAAGAGTTTATTTCGGTCGCGGAAGCAGCCTAACGAGTGCATGCTATCTAACACGTCTGGATCAATATCCTCCAAGGAAGGGAGAGAACGAATCTGCACCTTTCGAGGGATTGGTTGCTCTGGTTCTGGCTCATTCTTACCCCCTCTGCAGAGGAAAGAAGATGAGAGGGAGAAAGGGGGAGGGAAAGAAGGAGAGAAAAGAAACATGAGTCACAAATGAACCCATACTCTGAAACACAGCCTGCAGCAACAGATGGAAATAGCTTGCTAAATTCCCACTGAGAGACCAGAGCTCCCAACCAGACAGATACTTTTTTCAGAAGAAACTGTCGTGAAGGCTAAGATTGACCAGCAGCTTATGGATTTGGGTCTCTAACGAGAAATGTCTGCATTCAGTCAGGGAGGCAGAAGAAACTTCACTTACCAGTGCCCTTATAATAGAAGAGCTGTTCAGCATCCTAATGCTGAACATTTACAAAACCCTACATGGTTTTAGAGATGCTCTCTCATCAGCAGGCCAGACCTCAGACTATCAGGTTGAAAAATGCAAGCTGAGTGATTCTCTTTCAAAGAAGGAGCTCTGAACAAACCGTCACTATTTTTCACCAATTCTGATTCCAACTGGCATTGCAGCAGTTAATGCTTCTAATGTGATTAAGAGATCTCAGCGTTCAGGTTCCCACTTGACACACTTTAAAAGGTTTTTGGGGAAACTAGGCTGCTTAATTACATGCCCAAATATGACAATCTCTGCTTCTCTTCAGATATGCAGATTTGAAAATTCTGGCTCAAGTGTGGTGCCCGTGGTCAGTGGCAGACCTCAGAACACAACACTAGCAGCAGAACATTTTACTCTTTCAAATGTACTTAATGCAGGCTTTCTGCACAATTATCTCATCCCATTCACTAGGCTCAGGAAATATTGATTATTCATTGCAATTAGAGACCCTGACTGTAAGAAACGGGTCAGGGTGTCAGGGTATTATAACTGCCTAACGACATATATTGCAGACATTCTGAATATCCTTTGATTTTATTTTGATAGGCAGCAAGCAATTTATGTAAACTCTATCCACCTCAAGAGGTGGGTTTGGTGGTGGTGGTGGTGTTTTCATTGGAGAAACAGTCCACCCTGAATCTCTGCTATTTCTCAATGGATGCCTTGTGCAATGTCAAAGTTTCCCTGCTCTGTGGGTCCTCCCTTTCCTTTATGTGATTCAAATGTGTGAGTCCAGGCACAGGCTGGGTCCAGGCTCCCACGTGGGAGACAAGAATCAGGAAAATTTAAACTGCATTTGCCATTTATGGAGCAAATGTCTGTGTTTGGACAGGAGATTCTTTCTGATGCTGGAAGAAATAAGGTGGACACGACTTGTGAAGTTACTCGCACAGCTTAACATCTTGAGCTGTCCAAATATCTACACAGAAAAAGAAGTTCCAATTTAAATGTCCTTAATTTTTCTTGTGTAAGTTAGAAAGCAACTCTGGTAGGATCATACATATGAGCTTGAGGTTTCAGCCAAAAAGAGAGCCAATGTAGATTATTTCCTCCAAGTTAAGAAGGCAATACTAAGTCATAGCAGCCAAGATAGGACAGTTACATGCTGGGGCAATTACAGGAGATTGCTGGATGCTATTTGCATTTTGTTTTTAAGCAAGTTGAAATGCAGTTGTGAGGCATCTGCTCTGTTAACTGTTTGTGGGACATCACTTGCAGAAAGATTGTTTGGAAATTTTTGTTTTATCTTCTCTTGAAGCAGTGAAAATGTGCTTAGCCCTTCCTGGATATATGTCATGGAGTCAGACTGTGGTGTACATTACATGGGCCATGATGACATGGGTCAGATCCCACTTCTCTCACAGTGGGTACTCAGACACATCATTCTCAGTTTTATTCAGTTTTGGGGACTGGAAGCAGAATATACAGGACACAGAAAGAATCTGCTTCCTGGGATTCGTTCTTGTGTACCAAACCACTAAAACACAGCTTCTGATGCCCCCTTTGAGACTCGCAGAAGTGTCTGTGTCTTCTAAACCGCCACCATGGTCCTGAATCTAAGAGCTAGATTCAAAAATCTTTGTTCAACTAAAGAAACATCTTACTCCTTGTAAGAGACCACTACTCTTACCGCTTATAATCAGGATCTAGCTCTCAGCAGGTAATAAGCAATGATTAGATCATAACTTTGCACTATTAAAGACAGCAATGACCTTGTCAATTAAGATAAATTCTTGCAGGATGGACCTTTGAAAGCAGCCCAGTGTTTTTGGTTTTCAGTGATCTACAATTCACTTCTGAAAAGTATTGACTTAATTAATCAATCATTATGTTACAAGCAGATGTCCTTAAGGTAATTTAAAGAGATTAAAAATAATTATTGTCTCTGAAAATTTCCAGAAAATCTGGGTTTCCTACTAGTCACCCTAGTCCACAGCAAAATAGAATTTGCAAGCTTCTTTTGCATCAATTGGCATGGGAGCCATTTCTAGACGACAACACAGCTTGCCATCTTCTGTGCACTGGAAAGTGGCATGTCCTTATGCTCTGCACCTGGTCAGCCTCAGACATAGGCAGGAATTTTCACATCTCCTCATCAGGTACAAGTAAAATCTGCAAAGAGGCGTCTCGTCATTTGACAATGCAATTCAGTGCTTCAGGAAACAAAAATCACTGGGTCTGGGCTGTGATTGGCATGACTGTAATGCCTGTTCCATTCTCAGTCTAGCAGAGAGTGACAAATTTGTTGCATTTCAGCCCACACAGACATCAAACAATGTCACACGATGAATACAGCAAATCACATATATTTTTTTAAAGGCCCACATGAATGCAATTGCTGCTTTAAAACCCACCCTTTTTTGTGAGGATCGGTGCATACAACGGCTGTGATTCCTGAGGAGGGTGGACTTTTTCAGTCTCTCCATGAAATTCTCTCACGAATCTCACCGAGATGCCCATTTGCGTCAGTGCAAAAGCAAAGCAGTTATAATACCCTGACAGAACCTTTGCTTATTCAACACTTATTCTTTATCTTGTTTTAGTAAATGTGGTACCTTCACAATTAGGGCAATAACTCAGTGTTACAGGAGTATGCATTTGCCACAACAGATAATTTTATTTGCCCTCTTTTTTTATTAAAAAAATGTGAGAATAACTGCTGTTTATTTGCTGGCTTATGATAACCTACATTTGAGGTAAAAATAAATTATTTCAATTATAAAGGCTTGAAAAACCTCACTGAATTAATTTGGGTGGGAGAGCAAGAAGAACTGGAGGTTGCTGATGAAAGGTTTCACTTTGATTTCTTTTTCCTTTTTTAGGCTTGTGAATCATGATGTCAACTTTCAAGACCTCTTTCTCTGTCTCTCTTAGTCTGCAATTAAATCTTTTCCTCAGTTTTACAGTAGCCTTAATATTTATTTGAAGAATTAAGTGAAATCGCTTATATATTCTGAGTACAACTTTCAGGTCAGTAACCTATATATGACAAAGGATGAAGATTTTACATAGAATAGCAGATGAAATAAAGGAAAAAATTTAAGAGACGAGCAAAACAGTCATAGAATAAAGCACTTATAACCCCCCCTTCTCTGTCAGCATCAGTATTTTCAGGAAAAATGAATGCAAAGAGGCTGTGAAACATTACCAGATGATAGTAGCTGAGTTTTGGAGGTGGCAGGGTTATTCACTGACTAAAATTAGTCACAGGAGGTTAAACTCCTGAGGTCAATCCATGCCCAGTATAGAGAAAATGAGAAAGAGACTTATTAAAAAAGCTATTTTGAGCAGAAACTTCTGAAGAGACATGTGGAAGAGCTTTTCTCCACTGACTGCACTGGGAGTCTAGGGGAGACTTGCTTTTGCAAAACTCAGTTTCTACTTCTGAAAACAGCCTCAGATGATATTTCCCTTGACACAGTTTACTGTGTCAATCATCAAAGAGTCTGACCTTCATTGAGAAGTACATGAAAATTTTCAAATGCTAAAAAATCTTCAAATTCTAAATACAGAATAAACTCATGAAATAATACTGGTGTAATTGTGCATGAGAGCCTGGGACAACAGTCTTTCAACAGGTGAAAATTTCCAGGCAAAAATCTTGAGGAGGGTTAGAATAATAAGTGATCAATAACTTTTCATTTTATTTCCTATTCCAGTTCTGATTAAAGCACAGAGAGAGCCAGCTGATTTCACTCCAGGAAGAAACAGAGGGGATCAGTTGTCCAATCTGATGTAAACAGCATTTACTTCTGGAATTGCTAGTAAAACATTATAGGAGAGATTTCACAGATTACAATTAGAGATTTTCCCCCTCCATTTCTTCTACCTTTATCCATGAGAGTTTAAAAAAAAAAGTACCTGCTGCAAACAACACTTGTGTCCTTCTTTGGTTTAAAAAGGTGCCATGTCTGGTTATTGGAGAGAGCACGAAAAAGCCATGGGCAGAGTGCTGCCACCATTACAGGCAAACTAAGTTTTTTCTTAGTTCAAATGTTTTCTTAGCTATTCAACAAACCACTGAAGGCCCTCAGGTTCTATTAAAAATAAATCCAGAGGTGAACATTTTCCATAAGATAGAATTAGAGAAAACAAATACAAAAAAAAGTGGTTGTTTTTTTTTTCTTACTAGTGACAGGCTTATGTATCAGTTCATATAATCCTTGAGTATTTCTCAAGAGCAATGATAGGATTATGAAGGTAGGACTTCCCTTACCACCCACTTGGGAAATGCTGACCCTGAGAAACATGTATCAAAGCATCATTTCCTTGTTTAATATGTGAAGTAGTCTCTTTAGTTTGATTAGGTTATCATCAGTATAAAAAAGTTATTTACTTAGGTTTCTTGAAATACTATTAAAGCTACACAGAGTGCAAGGTCACTTTTAAAAGCCATCAATCTTCCTTATACCCAAACCACTAGACAGGCATGTACTTTTCTCCCAGACCTCCTGTTTCACTGTCAGGACTGCTGCTTTTAATCAAGTCACAGAACTATTCTCGCATCAACAGGTTACAAGGTCAGAAGCAGCCTCTTAGCTTGCTATGAAGAAGGAGCAGGGATTATGAGACAGGAAAGCTCTTGCTCACAGGTGCTTACTTATCAATATCATCATTTTTGTTTCTACTTCAGAGAAAAGCCAAGATGCCAAGAAAGAACAAATGAAAGCTTTCTTGTCAAGAAGGTATTACAAGGGATTGTCTGCAGCACTTGGATAGCAAACTAAATATGGCTGCCAGTTGTGGGGTTTTTTTTGCTGATCACCTGCAGGTACCTCTTTAACACAGCAAGTTGCTGTGCTATTTCAAACAGTTGTTAGCCACTGTACAAAAAAAGTTCCTGGGTTGGTATATATAGAAGAAATTATATGAGTAGCAAAGGGTAAAAAAAAATTAAAAGTCTTTCTATGCTCTGCCCCTTTTCCCACCCAGGTGAAACCTGCTTCCAGACTCCAGTCTCACTCTTCAGAAATCATTTGAATATCAGAACCAATAATGAATGCATACAAAAATGAATTGAAAAAATATTACTTACATATACCATATGTGTTTCTGAATATGTTCTAACTGTAAAGGAAAAGAAAACAAGGAATTAGTGCTGTAAAACAGAAAAGGTAACTCCACAAGACATCCTTATTCAAGTAAGTTCAACATTTCAGAGATGAATCTGTGCATACCAGAGCTGCTCATCCTCACCCATCCCACTGAAAATGAGACTATAATTCCAAACATAATGGGTCAGTCGGGAGCAAATCCCAGGAAAATGCTAATTATGAGGCTTCACAGGCAAGTGTTTTGGCAATTTAAGTTTTTCCCTTCCCTCTATTACTTAACCAAAGCTAACAAACTGCTCCATTCTGAATGTGCATAAGAGTTAATTTTTTATACTTAAAGTTCATTTCTAGTTTCGTTTTGGAGAAAAAGAGAGATAGAAAGAAGAAAAAAGGTTCAAACAGATAATGTAAATAAACAAAATAATTTGTGCACGTGTGAGGAGAACTTTTGCCAGGACCCACTCTTGATTGGCTTTCCATTTATCATTAAAACCTTACGACCAAGCAGACTAAGGCTCCGTGTCATTTATTGATCCCATACCTGAACACCAGTCTGCAAATTTATTTTACTTTTCTCTTTCCTCTTTCGCATATGAGTATTTTACCATGAAATGAAGGACTGATCAAAGTTGAATGGTGGCCTTGTCCACCTATGGAAGGCAGACCCCAGCAAACATTACACGATGACGATGTTTTCCCACGAGTGTGGGGAAAAGAAAGCAACATGCTTTTTCCAAGAGAAACCCTGAACAGTAGAGAGAACGGGAGGTTCATACGACATACTTACAGTAGAACATTCCTAATATGTTGTGTTTTAATCATAATCACAGCAGAAAAGAACTTTTCATAGATGTCCAGGCATTATTTATGTGGACAATATTTTTCATATTCATCACTATGAAGCACCTTTGTATGCGCAGAACAATATGCACATTCACTGCACACAGGCTTGCATTTGTGCAACATGCAGGTGAAAGGCAGGAGAGAAACTCAAGTGCTAACAGCTATCAGATGAAATCACAGACCCATTAAAATGGTCAGGAAGAATGGAGAGAGCTGTCCCGCTCTTATTACATTCCACTTTGAGAATAATGAGAATCGGAGGGAAAAAAATAAAAGAGGAACAGATAAACAACAAAATCTCAGAGATACAAAGTAGATGACTGCCACAGACAGCAAGGAATCAGAGCCCTGGTGCTATGGAACAACTGTTCCACATCTGAGAAACCAGGAAGATGTGAGTTTGGCTCTATATGAGATAATTTTTTCTAAGTGAGACAGGGCTTTTTCCTAAAAGCAAAGCAACAGGAGAATGCAGCTTAGGAAAGCATGACAGGAGGTTGGAGGGAGAGTATGAGACAAACAGCCTTCTTTAAAACCCAGACTGTATCAGCACTGCAGTCAGAGGTGCAGTTGGCACTTGCATATCTAGCTGTCTTCTAACCAGCCCAGGTGCTGAGAGCACCAATTTCCCCCAGCACACACATCCACGAGCCTGGGCAGACCTGCACGGTTTCCAGCTGCGGCCTCAGTTCTGTCACATTAATTCTCTTCATCACAATTCCCCTTGCATTAGGTAGTCCTTTCATCCCTGCACTATTATGACCAAGGTGGAGTATTCCTGACACACTGCCATCTCCTGTCAAGATAAAGCTATGCATCATGAGAGTTACCCTAAAAGCCTGGAGACACAGCCCTCTTACTTACGGTTCTTTGGAAGCTGAGGTACAACCACAGAACATAAGAAGAGCCTATTTTGTACAGCTTCCATGGGACAGAATTTTAGCATTGTCACTTATCAGGTCTATAGTTCTGTGAGGATCTGCTAAGGAGTGTACTGTACCTCCTGTGCTTGGTAAACCAGCCTAAGAGATGCATATCTACTTGTTATTTCCTATACACCACATAGAGGGTTAGAGACATTAATGATTTCAGACAACATGCAGATGATACAGCTACATGATGTCCAAGCCTCTTTCATGCTTGCTTCTCCTGCTGCATTTTCTGTCTCCATGGGTCACGGTGTTCTTGTGTGCCTGTGATATGTGGAAATGACATGCCAAAGCAGACAACAGCACTTCACTTTCTGAGTCAGAGAGGGGGAATAAAAGAGGGTCACCAGTTCATGTCTCAGTCACAGAACCTCTGGGCTCCTTCAGAGAAGATGTCAGAGAAATCCCTTCTGCTCATCCCTGTTGATCAACCTCCTTCAAGCTAACGAACCCATAGCCATTTTTCTGAAAGAGAAGCCCTGTAGTACCTTGATATACATTTGAAGGTCTATGACAGCTCTCATGGCTGCTGTTTACCTACATATCTGCCATTCAATCCACATCAAAACCATTGCTGTGAAGTATGCTGGGATATCCCAGATATGAAAACTATTCTACAAATCCATTTTCTATGCTGATTAAAACGTAATTGCATTGAAATGTTATTACAAGTGTGCTTGCTGCTGCCAACATTTTCACTACTGTTTTAAAGGTAATTAATTAATGCTTTGTTGCTTTTCCTCTGCATTAAAGTGACAGGAGGGTTATGGGAGGGCGATTGGTTTTGACAAGGAGAAGTCTGTATGCTTTTTACTATGCAGTGCAGGGGAGGGAGATACACAGTGGGAGCTAATCTCACTCCTCCTGCCTTCATTTAAACACAATGTTTAAATGCATTTAAGTGACGAAGGCATTTAATAACCCTTCCCAGAGGGTTCTTCTTGCTGTTTGCCCATGAGTTTGCCAAGTTTAATGCCATTTTATGGAAGTTGTTAAAACGCTGCTTCCTAATATCTCCTAGTCACTGCAGGCAATTGTCTCATGATGTCATCTCTGAAACAACAAAACACGCTTAGATCCACTGCACATGCACAGTCAGAGGAGAGATTGCTGCAAGCTAAAATGCTGTAATGGAAGGAGAGGGAGAATTCCTTTATCATGGTTTTACATAAAAATACTTCCAATATACATTAAACTTGTACACTGAAGAGCCCCACTCACAGGTGAAAGACCCACTGTGATACAGAGCTCTACAAGCTCATCAGAAAAAGAGGTCTCCTCCCACAAGGAGCTTACGTCTGAATTCTAAGGCAGGGAACAACAGATGGAGACAGACAGGCAGATGGAAAACAAGACCGCACTGTCTACATCCTCGGCACTGATCTCAGCAGAGTGGTTGCCAAGCTAAAAAGTTCTGACCTGAAGAAAAACTTTCTCAAAAGTCTGCAGATATAAATGAGGCCTTCTGGACTTGAACTCATGTCAAATTTCAAAATTCCCTGTCCAGAAAGGGAACAATCTCAAACCCATCTGTGCCCCAAATCAACCCACACCTCAAATGAATCTTCTTCATTCAGAAGATCCTGTAGTTTGAATTTTAAACTGACTGTGTAATGCTAAGATAGAGGCTTTTCCTGACCACAGGATTCAAGCTGGCGCTGCAAACAGCACTGGCAAAACCATTATCTGTGTCAGCAGCAGCAGCTGTACTATAGCAGCCTCTAGGGACCTTGACAAGGGCAAGAATCACTATCCTACCTGCACACTGCATGAATAGACCCTTGTCAGCCAAAACCTTACAGCCTAAATACATCAACTAGGCAATAACCTCCATTCTACAGCTTGTGAAGTGAGATAATTTAAATGATGTGATAGGCACCTTACCATAAGACCTTCTAGAAAAATGAAGAAGAAATCAGGTGAGTTGTCCCTTGTTCTTTTTTGTAACATTCTTTAGATGTTGTAGTCCATCATTAACACATATTAGACCCAACAAAAAACAAAAGTAGAGAACAGAGAGGAGATTCTGAAAACATGTGTAATTTAAGTTGGGTAATATTCAGGGACAGGTATTTCAGACTATGTGGACACCCAATATGGAAGACAAGTCATTCTACTCTAGTATAAAATGTCAACACTAGAACAATAACAGCTTTGCCAATTCTTCAGTATCTGCTCTGATCCACCTTGCCCTAGAGACAAAGTTTTGATAATGCTCATCCATCTTTAAAAGGAAAGTGGACCAAAAGCTCCTTACTCTCTGCCCTTTGCTTTTGTGTTTCTGTAGAAGAAAATACTGGTTGAGAATGCAAATGGTTTCCACTACAGGAGCTGTAACTCTCTGCTGCAGAGACCCTGAATCATTTGAAATCTCCAAGGAAAAAACCATTTGCTTTCTGAAGTGCACATAACTAAAAGAAAGCTCATCCTGCAGTACTTCAGGCACCCAGAGCACACCTTCCACAAGCCTTCTCAAACTTTATTACTAGTTCACTTTTCCTTCCTGACACTATTCCTACTAGAAAGCTGTCCCAGAACCCCGCTGATACGGCTAAAATGCTGCTTCTAGTTTCTAGCCTACTTTTCTGTAAGGCCATTTGACATACATTTGGTTTTGTACCAGTATCTTCTTTAGTTTAAATAATCCTTCTCTGCCTAGTAATTACCCCTCAGGAATATGCAGATGAGCGGTACAACCTTTCTTAGACATCATCTGTGTAGGCTAGCTGAAGCCCTTTTAGGCCATGCTTTTCAGACAGGCTTGCTCAAATGCTGATCACCTTAGTATTCACTCTTTGATTTCATCTTTCATGAATATGGGTGGTCAGAAATATGACCAGCAGCTAGGATCAACTTTTGCAGCTTAATGAAAGAAAAACATGGATTCTCTTATTTTAAAGCATGTTCAGTAAAACAGGTCCAGTAAACGAGAGTGGTCAAGGACGTTCCACTAACCATATTTGAAGCTATGTAATACATGGTGAGTGTGAACAATATTCCACTAAGACATAGCAAAGTCTTCTTTCCATAAATGAATCATATACAAAGAAAGGTAATGCCTATTTCTTAAGGCTGGAAAGGGCCAGCAACAATAGTTCTGAGTACCCTCCCCTCCATTAATCTTCTCAAGCTTTAACACTGAACCAAATGATGACAGTTAAACGTGAATCCTGGTTCTGTTTTTGTTGATCATTTTAACAGATGGACTGGGGAAGGTGTGGGTGTGCTGTGAAATGGCAATTACTGCAGGGAGGGAAATGTAGTTGGATGAAAAGGAAAAGAGATACAAATTAAAAAAAAGGAACAAAGCAGAGAGGGGAAGTGAAAAATGAAAGACAAAAATTCTGGTGACCTTACATTTCACTGTATTTTCTGCTGAATTCACCAGTGAGATATTGAGCAAACGATCAGTAATGGTAACAGCTACATCTGTACTTATTCCACCCAAGCTGCAATTTTGCTCACATCTTTGTATAAATATCAACTTATTTCAAGAAATATATTTTCCAGGAATAGAGGCTTCCAAATAAACCCATATTAATACCCTTTTTCACAGGACACAGCTAAAATATAGTTCAGATCTCTCCTCAGAATGAACTCTACATTCTCAGCTCCTGTGCAGGAAACAAAGAGCTCCCTTCTGCCTGGCAATCGAAGCAAGCAGCTCAATAACAGCACAGAGGTGTGACAGCAGCAGGGACAGCAAACTGAGAGACCCTCACATAATGAAAATAAGACTGCAGCTAATAACAAAGAGCTAACCTTTTTTCCTCCCAGGTCTTGGCTCTTGAATATGTATTATTTCAAATTCTTATTCATAATTCACTGGTTAGAGCTTTCCAATAACGATCAGATCTGGCGTTTTTTCCTCCCCAAGGAAGTAAGAGGTTAATTTTCATCAAGAAAAGGAGGGGGAACGGGTGTCACTCTGGGACCTCGGTTCACCTTAACTGCTTTCTCTCCTATGTGTGTACATTCTCTGATGTATTGCACGATTTAAAACATTTAGAGTCTGTCTCTGATCTATGGAAAAACTCAGAACAATCTGAAAAGGGATCTAACATTTGATGATCTCCTTCCTAGCAGACTTAGTTCATCAGCACTAAGATCTTTGAAAAAAAACCAACAATGACAAAACAGCAGAAAAACTGATACGTTTACAACATGGAAAGGAAGCTAAGCTCGAGAGGGACATGGTGACATTCTCAGCCATGAAGAACAGCTGTCTCATGTCTCAGGGTATAGCCCTAACTTCTGCAGTGTTCTTTCCATAAAGTACTTGGGAAAAAGTAATTTCTTTCTTTAAAAATCTGTTTTATGCTTAAAATTTTTCTATGCTTAAGATTTTTTTTTTCAATCAGTACTATTAATATACTGCAAATGTGATGGCTACTGGGTTTGCAAAAGTAGGGATACTAGTAACAACATGAAGAACTTTTCACCTGTGTCACCAAATACAGCATGACCTGGTTTCATAATGAATGAAAGAAAAGCCCAGCTGTCAGGCAATACTGTACAGAGAGTTGTGAAGGGAGTTTCAGTTCACTTCTTAGCAGACAGGTGTCTGCATCCCAAAAGCTCCATCACAGCTGGCACAGATTGATGCTGTTGTTAGCAATCTCAGCAGAGGCCAACCTGTGATCTGAGAGTTTATTTATAAATATTTTAGCAGACTGAAGAACCAGGAGGAGTTTTAAATTTACATTTCTTTATACATACTCCCACTCAGAATCTGTGAGCTTAGTAAATCTGTATAAAATCATCACCACGGCCTGACAATAGGATTTACAAGGGCAATGTACCCATAAAGGCAGACGCCTCCACTGACAAGCAGGCAATCTTAGTTTCCAAAATTATTTTAATTGCTAATTTTTAAAATTCCCTAAAACATTAACACAGTGTTACTGAAGGATACAATCACTACACAGTCCTCGCCCTTTCAAGGCCTCTGTTGTAGTGATGGGATGCATCCTAAATGCAAACTCAGTGCTGAATGCCAGGAGCTCAACACTGTGGGCCTAAGAGTGCTCAGGACCACAAGGCACAAGATGAAAGAGCAGACAGGCAGACACTTGCTCTGAAGGCTGCTAGAGGACAGTGCAGAGCAAATGCAGGATAGAATACAATGAAGCTTGCACAGCATGAGGTGAGAAGCCAATACTTCTGTCAGAAATGTAAGAAAATCATACTGTTTACTAGCAAAGCTTCAAGTAACAGTTCTAACAGCTGTGACCGTCAAACAGGTCTCTCACACTCCCAACAAACTGCTGTATCAGCCAGAAGAACCAGACAACTCAGGAGGACTCCAAAATCTGCTAAGGTGTCAGTAGCTCTGTGATGATGTTGTGAGGGATTTCTTCTAAATGCCCAGTGCTACATATGGAAGGGAATTATGAGGCTAGAGAAAAAACACAAAGGCAATCTGTCCTCGTGACTCAAAAGAGAAGGTAACTAACTTCTTCCTAAAGACTCCGACAACTCTACTCACTCTTTTGATCAGAAGGAAACTCACAGGAATGGCAGTAAATCAACAAGTTATCTTAGCTGTTCAACCATAACTGCAACAAGATGAGAAATGAAACCTTGCTCATACCATCAGCACCAAATACTTTCTTACCGTGAGACGTTTCGAGGCATCCACTTCAATCATCCCCCGCAAAAGGTTCTGACAGTCAGGCGGGATAAAATGTGGCATGTGGAACACCCCACGTTTCACCTTCTCCAGCAGTTGCCGCAAGTTGTCATCATCGAAAGGCAGGGCACCCTGCGGGGATGTGATGGAGTGGTCAGTGGCAGAGAATTGGAGAGGGCCAAAGGAGAAAAACCATAATAAACATAGTGAGAGAATGGAAGTGAGTAAGTCAGCTTATAATGAATTATTATAGTAAGTGAAAAAAACTTCTATCTGTTGAAAATAAGTAACTTCTTAGTGCTGCTGTATTTCCTCTAACATAGGAACAAAACTGAGGACAGAGGTTTTTTTATTAGACTTTAATTAGAAAATGACTACCAGTATAAAATAAAATACAAAATATGAAACTGCCTTTCCAGGCAAATTCACCAAAGATGCATGGATTCACTTAAATTCAGCTCAAGCTTTTGATCTGTTGGTATTCCCCCGGGGCATACTTTCACAGCAGCAATGTTTATCGTCTCCTTATTTTTAATCTTCCTAAGACACACTTATTGCAGACATTGAAAAGGAGGTGAACAGCTTTGGAGAGACTTTCAGCAGAGAACATGCCCTTTCTGATGGAGCATTGAAATGACACAGCTGAAAGAAACCCCAACCAACAGCAGCCTTTGGAAGCAGCAGATATTCTATCTGTTTAATATACTCCATCCAGTTCCCATGCTGTGGTCAGGTCATCAGTTCCTACTGCTTCCCTACTGTAGCTCACTTACATGAATGGCTTGAGGTTTTTTTAGCTGAAACTACATTGTGAATAGATCATCAGCTTGCCACAAAAAGCAGTAAAACACCTATCCTTGCTGCAAGGACAAAAAGGAAAAAGAGAAGTTGAAATCTTTAGGATAACTCCCCTGACTGCAGCTGATACCCTTTTATAGCAAGTCTGCACCTTCCTAGATATTCTCACTTCCTTCTTTCACTGCCTAATTCTAGTAGGTGCTGAGCTTCCTTGATTTCCAGGATGGTTTGTGGGAAGCTGCAAGCTGTCAGCTGCTGCAATAATGAAGCTTTAAGTTGTCAGTTCTGGCACTGCTCTTACTACAGTGAGTAGTGCATCTGTATAAGCAATCCTGTGTCTACAGTTTAGGGAGACCAACAGCTCCATTTACAGCAGCCTCAGGAAGTCACCTGATGGCAACCACTACTGGGCACTGTTTACTAGGGTTTGTTCTTTCAGGTGGCCTTGCAGGGAGAGCCTCCCTGTTCCACTGTAACCAACCTCCTGAGTTACCTACGCTTTTCCTAACCATTCCAGACTTAAAGGAAAATCAATTCTGATAGTTCAGTACTTCGGCTAACGCAATTTAAGCCACGATGAAGTCAGAAAGGACGCTTTGTGGCATTTCCTGAAGGTAACAACTACACCTTTTTTATTACTACCATCTGCTATTATATCTTGAGACTTTTTGTAGGGTTCTTCCTGACATGATTAACTGGAGAGCTCTGGGCTCTCCATCATTAACAGACTTATTTCAATCATTTTTCAGGCTCATGTGTGTATGTAGGACCAGACGAAGATGCAGCAACAGAGACATGAAATCTTGACAGAGAATCTCCCTGAAAATGAAAAGCCCACTCCTACAAATCCTAACCATCTTGACACATTCTCTCTTCTGTTCTTACAAATTCAAGAAGTTATATTAAGAGCTCATTATACAGTTCTATTTTATCAGTTATGAAAGTAGTTGCTCAGTAAGAGATGACCGGGTGCTGCCTAGTGTGACAGTTAAAATTCTTCCCATGCAGCATCAAGATAAAAAATTTAAAACTTCAGAAATGTCAGTGAATTGTAATGACTAAAAAGAAAAAAAAGAGTAAGATTGGTTAAGGGGAATTAAAGCATCATACTGAGATTATTTCAAGGTATTTTGATTCAGGCCATTAAAAAAGAATTGGCATGTTTTTTGAAACAAAACTATTTTAAAATTTTAATGTATTTTAAACAAAAATAATATGCAGAATCTATCTCTGATTTTACACTGTACAAATGCTTTTGTCAAAATAAAACATTTAAGTGAAGCAATTAGGTTTACTGATAAATGTAAAAGACTATCAGAATTTTACTTCAGGCTTGTTACTTTTATAATTACAGATGATCAGCTGAACTATTACAAATATAAAATGCTTAACATGCACATAAAACCTATATTCATACAGAATATCATGCCATATTCTATCTGCACGTGGTATATGCTTTTATTAACATAAAATATATATTCTTACATTAGACTATGGAAATTGGTAACAAATGCCAAGCCTATCTGCCTTCAGCTGGACATTCAGTTGTTGTATGTTTAGGAGTATTATAACAGCACTGTAAATCAGAATAAATGGCACTGAGAATTGAAACTTTGTTCTAAAGAAGGATAAGTTACCAGATACCATATTTTGAACACTAAAAGTATTACTGAGCCAGATGGAAACTAATTTAAACTCTGTACTACTGGCTCAGTTTTATATTCTCAAGTGTACCAAATTAAAATGTAGCTCACTGCTTGCATGAAACAAAGTTGTGGCACTCAAACCTTCCCTTGGAAAAACACTGCAGTTAATGTATGCATATACCTGAAACACATGTACATATACAGCAGAAAAAACGAAGGCAAACCCAGCCATATTTTGATCCTGTGAAGGATGACTTACTGGACATTCTCTGTATCCTGGAGTTGTAACCCTGTACATCCTTTCCAGACAAAAAAACATGCTGCAATATCACAACACAGCAAAGAGCATTTATGGAGACAAGTTTTCGATGCCTGTCTATGCTCTCCTGTGCAGGGCTGCAGTATTTCAAAGAAGCAGTGAAATACTTCTTATGCTTTTCCTTTGGGGTTGATGTAGAAATAAAAGGACAGGATGCCACTGAGAGATACAAAAATAGGGGAACTATAAAAAACCACCTGTACGTGATGTCAATAGAATTGCCCTTAAATACAGCAGCACTTTCAAATTTTTCTTTTCTTTTTAAAGGCTAATGCAAGGAAGATGACTCACCACTAGCAACGCAAATAAAATGACTCCGCAGCTCCAGACGTCTGCTTTCCTTCCATCATATTTTTCTCCCTGTGCAGCAATGACACAGAGGTTCAAAAGACTGATCACTAGTAAATGAATTAATTATCCTTGAAGAACAAGAGAGGGGAGACTGGGAAACCCCATATTTCAATTCAGCCACCTGTTTCCCAAGGCAGCCTTCCCGACTAGGAGGACATTACACAGCCCGCTAATTGAATTTTTGTTAACGTCAGTTTACAGTCATATCTGGGATCTGTGGGAAAAGGCTCAGAAGTAGGGAGCAGGGCAGGAATGGTTGACAACTCACAAATTATCAAAGCTGACATTTTAACAGTGTCAGAGGTGCATTAAGGACATCAAGAAGGTGTTTTTCTCTTCCCTGGTTCTTCAGGGAGCTTGTCACCAGCCACAGTATTTGTGAACTCATAGTATTGTCTGGACAGTCTCTTCTGTATGCTTCCTGCTTGACTTTACATTAAAGACAAGCTTAAGAGGAGGGCAATCTTGGCCACTGAAATCTTAGATACTTATTTTCAGAGGACAAAGGGAGAGCAGAGGGAAAGAACAGTTTGTATTGTTTAGTGGAAACCAACATCACTGACAGTCAACCCCGGTTCTTCTACTGAAATGACAGCTACATAAGAGACAGGAAAGCAGACGGGACTACATCCCTTGGGTTGAAAGATCAAATTAAAGGAGGCTCCTGCATTTCTGTCTGATCACACAGTACAAAGGGTACTGTGAGAATAACACACAATTATTTCCCTCATACAGTTAATGTGACTTGATTCAGGGATGAGCCTTACGCTCCTTGTGTCCTTCCCGTGCCATCTGCCTTGGATAGGTTTCTTGTATAGAGGGTCTATCTGCATACTTGCAATGAGTGACACTTCAAAAAATATATTTATAAACACTAATGTTAACCAACTTACCCGGATGACTTCAGGACAAGCATAATGTGGTGATCTGAAATACAAAATAGAGTCAAATGAGCATGGTATTTATGGTCATGTGCATTTCCATTTTGTTTAGCAGAATCATGACTGGCTTGCTTGTACAGAATACAAGTATGCAAACAAGCATGTTTTCCTTACCTCAACAAGAACACATTTCTAACAAACTCAGAAATTGGTCAAGAACTAGCATAATTTACAATTCTGTGGCCCTACTATGAATTTCTTTTCAGTGAGGAATGATGAGAAGACCAGGCATATTCTGTAACTATACAGAATTCCAGCCCTCTAATCCCACTCTTTAACTTGGCCTTGTATCTAATTAGAAGGAAGGCTCATGCTGCACAGTCTTTAATAGCAAAAAAGACAGAACAGTATTTTCAGACCAAACAGATGCATTTCTAAACCATGTCTGGTACCTCTTCTTCTAAAATGACTCTCAGTTACTTCAGTGGTCACAAAAGCTGCCAGTATATGATTTCAACGTTGTTTTTTTTTTTTGTCTTTTAGAGAACTAAAAAGGATGGACAGTAGCACTATTACCTAGTGAGTTAATATATTCTTTTCACATCCTTCTAGCCATATATCTCTGGTTTGATTCCTGGCTGAGAAGAGTTAATTACTTCAACTTGCCAGGTAATAATTTTAATTCTTGAAGATTATAGCCATGGCTATTTATTTTATAGCCTTCATTAAAGTAACTTGACAAGTAAAAGGGATGCAAACTGTCTGAAACCTGTGTGCAAATCATGCTATTGTTTATACTGACACCTCCCAGCAGCCCCTGAGCCTGTCTTCATTTGTGCATGTGTTTCTTGTGACAAATGCAATCATGGCTGGGCAATACCTGTCTCACAAAGTAATGAGAAAAACAGAAGCACAGCGAGGTTAGTTTTGTGCTAAGATGCTGTATTAATGCCCAGTGAGACAGCCCATTAATTGAATTTCCATACACACTACACTTAACCTTTGGCAAAATATCATCCCATGGGCATGGAATGCCCTGATTTGGTATCACAGCTTTTGGCAGAGCATGACAATAAACTCAGGATACACTTGGGACTGCAGCTACCTTGACAGCAAAGTTCATGTGAGGAGAGAGAAAAGCAGTTGATCCCTCACAAACTTTAGGAAAGATGGAATTCAGAAGTTTAATACTATATTTAATACACCCCTCTTTCCCCAGCCCCCAGGCCCCCATTTAAGAGGTGGGGCATTCACAGGTATTCTAACCAGGCCTGTCTGCTCAGTAGTGTCTTAGTTTAGACTACATTTTAAAAACCTTGGTTTGAGAGTCAAAATAGACAATGAAAACTGGAGCTTTCCCTCAGAGAGCTGGCTAGAGTTGGTCATTGTGAGACCAGAAAGAATGGACTTGTATCTAGTGGGTAGGACAGACTACCCGGGCTGTCTTGGTAATCTTGGTAATTCTGTCACAGACAACCATGTGGACAAGGTTACTTAACATTTTTAAAAGCTGCAGCTGGCCACAGTTTGAAAAAGGTGACCAGAACCTGACATTGAGTCTACTCTTCTGACTAAAGCAAGAGCAATGCTTTCACACCTCTCAAGAGTTTCTATGAATTCACTGAGATTTGTGTGAGGCTTTAGCTGTTTGAGGCAAAAACTTCCATAGTAACAAAGAGTGTGGTGGCAACAATAATGAAATAAAGATAAAGCAGTCAGTAATGATAATAAAATCGTTGCTTCTTGACTAAGCAGGGGCTGATTTGGGAGGTTTGCAGCATATTGTTGGTCACTGCTAGAGAGAAAGTGAGGCCAGAGTGAGACTCTGAATTGCTTAATATTATGTACATTTCCCAAACCCCCAAAATACATTGTTTCCTGTGAGTTTGCTTCTTTATAGCAAACTGATAGCTGCACTATACCTGTTCTTTTCAATACCCCAAAGTCTTCACCGCAGGCACATCACGGGACTAATGCATGATTTTGCAAGCTTTTAGAAGACAAATTATTCTTGTGAGAATGCTTGACTAGTGATATTATCTTTTTCCTGTATCATAAAGGTGGTGTATAGTGTATGGGCCATCCTTAAGGCACACACAAATCAGAAGGAGCAGCACCAGAACTGGGACTGCAGCCCAGGTCTGGACAAGTACAGCCAACTGTCAGTAGTCCTGGACTGCTTAGACTGAACAGTGAAGGAGGGAACTGTAGGGACCATAGTAACGCAACAATTATTTGGAAAAAACAACATGGTAGCAAAAAGAGGTCAGGACTTACACAGATCAATGATATTTGCTCAGGTTAGTCACCTCAGAACAGAAAGGCCTGTTCTAGCATTCTGTATAACTTAGTCACATTAGTTTTATCGGAAAATATATGGGGGGGGGGGTAAAAGGAGTGAAGACACAATTTTGGTAACTGTTCAGCTCCTGTCACTTAGCATGGCTGAGTTCCTCTTGCATGCATTTTGGCTTACCTCAGGTATGGCTGCATTTCCTTGTGAATCATGAAGACACACAGTACATTAAATGGTTACTACGGGGATGCCTACGGCTGAGCTAGAGGCTTAAGCCAGACCTCTCAAAACCTGCATGGTATCCTGTACAGTTCAGCAACACCCTTCAGCACAATACTTTTTGGATGGCCATGGCACTGGGGTGCACTGGAAGAGTCAGCATCTCAATGTGCAGAGTGTTCCTAGTTTTATTTGTATATTATGACTCTGACAAAAATTTCAGAACTCTTAATTGTGAGTGCTGAGCAATGCAACCACCCATGCTAACACCTGAGGAGGAGCACAAATCTGACTGGGAACGATTTAAGGTCTGGAGAGATGTTTATGGGGCCGGAAAAGACTATTATTCCATGGACTGACTTGTTATTCTCCAGTTTATTACCAGTTTTATACCAAGTTTAATGTATCCCCATGTTATTCCTTATGGTTTGTATTGTTCAGGGCTTGTTCAGACTTGCCCTCAGTTATTTCCCGCCAAAAGTTGTTTACTCCCTTGTTCTCCCCTGGTTTTCCCACTCATCTCTCACTGATTGGCTGATGGATGCTGCAGAGTGAGCTCCCATTGGTCCTTTCCCCTGGACACTCCAAAGTTCCACCCATCTTTCTCCTGTTCCCCAATCCCATTCTGCCCTGAGTTGTCAATCCCATGCTCCGCCCCAGTTATGGAATCTCCCCTTACCCATACCCTATATAAGTCCCTGTTTTCCCCTAATAAAGTGGCATTGCACCCTTGACCTTCAACCGAGTCCGAACCCTTTTGTGTGGTGCCGCATCCCTATCCCTTTCACCCTCGGGGCGTGGCAAACACCCTTGAAAAGAAGAATGTAAATGTTGTGAAAGATGCGTACATATATATTTATGTGTCCCACTAGGAAAATGCCCTTGAAGCATTCACCTTCCTGAGGTCTGCTTAAGTGCAGTGGAATCTGCCATGTATCTTAAAAGACACCACTAAAATTCTGCAAAAATTAGGGGACTGGGTGGAGAAAATGTTACAATAAATCCTTTGAAGAAGTTGGATTGATTCGATCATTCAACAACTGCACTGCAACTGCCCAGAGAGCACAGGTTTCTGGCATCACCATTCTGAATTCTCACCAGCACACACCAGCTAGATATCTGAGCATTATCTTGGCTAACAGCTTTAAAAGGGTTCCTCCAGTCAGCCAGAATCCATAAAAAACTAATTTCCATGCTACCAATCACAGAGAACTTCAACTGCTGTAAAGACAAAACTCAAATTTAATCAAAAAACTATTTATCTTTCTACAGAGTCATGAATATTTCTTTGGCTCTTATTACTAATTATTCAATATAGATGTGTCAAGAGCAACATTCCCTACCTCTTCCCCTAGGCCACCTCCTCATCATTCTGCTACATCTCTGTGCAGCAAAAGCCACAATCTGCCCTCGATAGCAAATAAGTATATTGCTCAGCAAGATCAAGAAACAGTTGCTGCCTGCGGGTACTGCTGCAAAAAAAAGCAGCGATGTTGGCAGTGTTTATTACCAGGGTGATGTGGATTTTCCAAGGCTAGTCGGCCTGGGGCAGGAAGGGCTCTCTAAATGGTCATTCACAGCTGTGACTCCAGGACACAGTAATCTTAAGAATCTTGGGGGACCTTAACAAAGCATTTACATGGGATTTAAACCAGAGTGCAACGGTGAAATCCAGGACAGCTCTGGCCAGTTAAGTCAGGCATTCAGAAACAGATGTATATATTGTTGATGTATCTATCCTGAATTTTATCTGAGAAACTAGAAAAGTAGTTCTTGATCTGTGCACATCAAGATATTGTGCAGCTACAGTAGATCTGAGACAACCAGGGCCATATCTTCAGTGCAGATGTGATGTGCCCATGACTTACAGGTCTCATTATGTAAGTAAGAGAGCCCTGCACTGTGCACACAAAAATCTACTGTGCCCACACAAATCAACTGTGCACATTAAGGTTTATCTGGGAATACACAGTAACTGCTTTGCCAGAGAAGCAGTTGACTGATCAAGAAGGACAGGGAAAAGCTGTGTGATCCTACTCCACAGCGTGACAAATCTTGTGTTACACTGCCTGATAGGTTCCTAAGTCCCATCAAAGATGTCCCATCAAAGGACCCAGGCTTCAGTCCTTTGATCCCACACCTTAAGATGGTACTATTTGGGGAAGGAGAAAAGCTTTGCGTGCCATTCTTTAGGCCTCACAGATACAGGCAGAGTTTCTGCAGAGGGAGGAACAAGAAGAAGTCTCCTTTCCTCTGTTTTTCTTATGCATGAAGTTACCTTGATACAGGAGGTTGTACAGTTGCACTGAAGTCCTCCCCCATCTAGCTGTTTTTGCTGTTGCTCAATGCTGGATTCCTTCTTTCCCCCTGTTAATCATCATCTCCAAGCTGGCTTTCAGAGGCAGAATTTACCACTAGAGCAAAAGGCTGCCTGTGCCTTCCCCCATGCTGAGTAGCAAAGGGTTGAGATGAAGAGGAACACCAGAGGAATAGCAATATAGATAAAGGGAATTCAGGAGTAGGACACTGGC